TTTCAAATACGTAATACCCTTGCGGATCTTGACGGATCACTTTTGGTCCATTTTTTTCTCTAGTGTTGGTCGTTAGCCGATTGCTGTCTGTAAAAACCCTAAAAACGGTCATCTTCAATGATTAACAACTCGCTTAAAAATCATTCTCCAAATATTTAAATCAAACCCTACAAGACTCCAATGTGTATTTCAAGATTAATTTATTTTGGCGCTATTTTTAAGCTAGTTTCTTTATCTACTGTGACCACAATACTACTTTTACAGGTTTATAATTTCAATTTTGTACTTGAAGATGTTTATTATTATGAAATTCCGACCAGCTCCTAGTCTACATGTCTTGAATAGAATCAAGAAAATGTGGCCTTGCATAATCTCCCATCAGTCAAACTTTTTGCGAAAGAACATCTCCGGATTCAACCACAACTCCGTAGAAACTCCCCTTCGCTTTCTTATCCTCATTAGAACATCAAAGGGATACTAATCAAACCAAAGCTTAGCGAGCTTAAATTACAGTCGAATCCGGACCGGTGTGAATAAATTGGATCCGAAAATCTTCAAAGAAGCTGTAAAAAAAATCGCGAAACTCAACGACCTTCGTTCACATCGGACTAAGAAAATAACCCTTCAAGTTCGTTTGTCTACAGTATATTCAGATAAGAGATAGACCGGATGTAAACAAAAGGTTCGGGTGATTTTCACGCTAACGCCGCCGTCTCGACGTAAAACAGGAGCCCTCATTGGTCAATTCGCAATTAAAATGCCTATGCCGAGCGGCAGAGCAGTCGCATCAAGGCAGAGTCACATTCAGGTTCAGACGTGTTACGTATGTCGTGTGCATCATTGCAATTTGATATTTCTTTGGACGTTTTCGTTTGTTATCTTATTAAGTTGTTGAGTTTGTCGTTGTTATTGTTATACCTTGTTATTGTTATCAACTGCTTGCGCAAAATGCCCAGTAGTACAGATACTGCCGATGAAGTTGTAAACTCCTGTAGTCCACCTAGGAAACGCTCTAAAAAAAGACACCTGAGTGCAGAAATGAAAGAGGTCATTTTGAATATATATAAGATCGAGCGCGAGAAGAACGAGGCATCAACCATCAAAGAAATTGTTGTGAAGGTTTCTCACAAGTTGGGGTGTGTCGCGCATCAGTGTTTAATGTGTTAAGACAATACAAAAAAAATCACACCTTTTCTGAGCCAATGACCAGTAAACATCGCAAAAGTATTGTTAAATCATTGGATGAAGCTGATAAGCATGCGATTAGCAGGAAAGTGCATGAATTCTTCGTTAGGAATGAAATACCTACTATAGATAAAGTACTGCAGGAGGTAAATGGAGATACAACGTTGCCAAATTTCAAACGATCATCTTTCCATGCGTTACTGAAGCATTTAAATTTCAAATGGAAAAAACGGGGTCGTAATAGTTTACTACTGGATAGAGAAGAAATTGTGCTATGGAGGAGGGATTATTTAACAAAAATTGGGAAATATAGAAATCAAAATAGGAAGATTTATTACCTTGATGAAACATGGGTAAACGCAGGACACACTACAAGTAAAGTATGGGTTGATGATTCTGTAACTTCATCAGGAGGGCCTTTCTAGATGGACTGTCCACCGGATTAAAAAATCCAGCAGGTAAATACGAGTAATAGACAACAATCGGATGTTTTTCAAAACCTTGGGAACAAGGTTCTAAACATTAATTCCAGGGGGCAGATAAAACATATTACAAGTAACAAAACTTTTATAACTTTCGATAAAATGCGTGGATGTTTTATTGTCATTTTCATTTGTTAGAACTTTTTAAAGCCATGTTTTTATGTGTTTTCGATATTTCAATAATTTTTAATATAATCTTAAAATATGTCGAATATTATAAACTTAAAAAAAGTTACTAAGTTTTATATTGTGTACCGTTCCTAATATTTCTAATCATTTTAATTCATACTTTAAGCTTTATAAAGTTATAATTTGTTAATATTAATATTTGCGCGATTTCAGGTTCCATTTTTTAGAGGTCTATAACTTTAAATTAAATTGTGAAGCGCTGAGTAATCATACGACGTTCAATATTCTTTCTTTCAATATGACTAAATAATCCCAATTATAGCAATCTGATACTCATGTCTCAATGTTTTTTTCGCTGAATGTGATGAAAACATTTGAAAAAGGTCGCTTATTGAAATAAATCTACACCACTTAGTACTTCGATTTCCAGGTAAAGGGAAAAGGCTCATTATCTGCCATATTGGCAGCGAGGATGGATTTGTTGTTGACGGTCTGTGGTGCTTTGAGTCTAAGAAAACTGGAGATTACCACGAGGAAATGAATGGCGAATCGTTTGAACAGTGGTTTTCAAAAATTTTACCGAACTTAGAGGAAAACGCAGTAATTGTGTTGGATAATGCGCCTTATCATTATCGAAGAATGGAGAAGGTCCCAACAACGGCTTCAAGGAAAGTTGATGTTCAAAATTGGCTCCGCTCGAAAAATATCAACTTTGAAGAGGCAATGCTGAAAGTAACGTACAATTATTAAGAATTGTCAAGGATCACAAGGCGGAATATCAAAAATACGCCATTGACGAAATGGCAGCAAGTCAAAATAAAACTGTGCTCCGTTTACCTCCATACCATTGCGAGCTCAATCCCATTGAGCTCATATGGGCAGAGGTTAAAAATTATATAGCTAAGCACAATACAACTTTTAAATTTTGTGACCTCAAAGGACTTTTCAAGAAACACTAGAATTAATAACAGCCCAAAAATGGGAAAACTGTATTAAGCACGTGAAAGACAAAGTTGAAAAGAGAATGTGGGAACTGGACAATATTTTAGAGGAACAAGTCGTCGAGCCATTCATTATTGACGTTGGTGCTTCAGCAGTAGCGATGATGAAAGCTCATCAAGCTCATCTTTCCAATAAAAGATGTCATTCATCAAATTCGGTAAGTTATAAGTAATTATAAAGCTACTGTATTTTTTAATTAATTATTGACATTTTTGAACCCATGTTGGCAAAACCTATTCAAGAATCTACTTTCTGACAATGTTCAACCATGCACATTTTTTTACGTTTTGAACGTTTTAATTTGGTTACATATTTACCTATAAATGAAAAAATATACTAATCAATATTCTAAAAGCAATTTTAAGAGATATACGATTATTTTTAATTTAGGCTAATTTAAACGCCATTTTGAGATTATATTCGACTGTATTTCACCAAACATCAGACGGCATCCGAAGCTGGAAATCGAAGCGAAAATTTTGAAACCCTTATGTATATTTACATCATTATATATTTCTTACCCCACCCCCACATGATCCTATATCCATCACCAATCGTATACACATCGAATTGTGCTAATTTACTACAAAGTTACGCAAAGCAGCATCTACTATCTAAAATATGTACTGCGTGACTCTTAATACGTCCCTGCCGAATGTTACAGCGTTCGAGAGGTCTGCCGGTGGGACACCGGAGGGCGCATCCTCGCGGAAGAAGCCTCGCACTGCGACGCATGCGCAAATTAGTTATGCGCGAGCGTCCCAAGCGGGTCTCAGGGTGGCCGTCGTGTCCGACGGTTATCCTGGGACTCAACTTACTAATGTACAGGTGCAGCAGGTCCAGGAGGCGGTCAGTGTGCTGATAGATGGGATCCCAGATGAGGTGACCCTTCCCAGGTACATTGACTGCTACCTCTCTCGAGGGCAGCCATCTTTGTCTGCGAGGACGAATCCTCTAGGGCATGGTTGGAGGCCCACGTGGG